TAAATCCAGTTTCCAAGTTTTTGTTAGATAGTTTAGGGTTGCTTTCTCTAATTTTTATTGAATCCTACCCCCTACTCGAGTTATTCTGTTATGTTTATTTGATTGTTTATTCCACTTATTTGCGAGGAAATATTGATTTTCCACATAAACGCCGTTGAAACGCACTCCCGAGGTCCCTTATTTTCAGAGTCATCTGCCAAATTAAATGGTTTTCAGGATTTTTTTTTTAGGTAAGTCAATTTTAGGTTATTTCATAAATGATCCTATGCAATGATAAACAATTTATAGTTCAGAAAATTTACAGCTATTCATCAAGAAAAGTCGATTTAATTTAAGGAATTAACATCTTTTTATTTATAATCTGAAGGGTTATAAATGAGGTGTAAGTACTGAGAACAGCAGTGAATATATGAAAGAGGGGGAATGTATATATATATATATATATATATATATATATATATATATATATATTATATATTATATATATATATATATATATATATATAAATATATATATATATATATATATATATATATATTAATATATATAATATATATCGTGCCGAATAGGCAGAACTTGCGATCTTTGGCTTAAATAGCAACGTCATCTTGCCATATAGGACAAGTGAAAATTTGTGTATGCAATAATTTCGCCAAAATCATTCTGAACCTAACGAAAAAAATATATTTCACTGTGTTTGTTTAGTATTAAATTATTGTAAACAAATCTAAAATATGTTTAGTTGGGTTAGGCTAAAATAAATTGTTTTTGTTATAATAAGGTTAGGTAAGTTTTTTAAGTTCCTTTTGGTGCAAAATTATAAATTTTTACATCAACATTTACTTCTCCAAGTTCTTTCATAAGCGCGCGTGTGTGTGTGTGTGTGTGTGTATGTGTGTGTGTGTGTGTGTGTGTGTGTTTTAGTACTATATATCAATTTTATGTATTGCATGTTTTTTTAAATATTTTTTTCAGCAATTTATTTACATACATAAATGATTAATTTACTCCCATTTGTGTAATATTCAAATGAAATTTTTGAACCATCCACTCACCCCCCCCCCACCCGCCCCCATATCCTCTCTCTGGTTCTACCCTCTCACTACCTGGGTCGATCCTTATACCTTCTGGTTCTGTTCTCTCACTCACAGATGCTGTCCTTTCACCTCATTCACCGATACTATCCTCTCACTATCTGGATCTTTCTCATACCCCTTACATCTATCCTCTCACTCCTTGTTAATGTTCTCTCTAAACCCGATTCTTAACTGATTCATCCCCTGGTTGGGTTTCCCCTCAACCCCCGGTCATCTGGCTCGTCCCTGGTAGCTTCACACACACACTTACTGAGCAAGAGGGAGTCTCGTCAGAGCCGTCACGGCAATCGTAGACTCCGTCACAGCGTCGGGCCTCGGGGATACAAGTGCCCGTCTTGCAACAAAACCCTCTCCAGCCCTGAAATAGAAGGAGGCGAGGATAGAGAGATGGAACACATACACACACAGGAGCTGTGGCTCAACCTTTGTAATCACATGTAGTTGAGTACACACACACACACATGTAGGATTAGAAAGGGATCTGGATAGACTGTAAGCCTGGTTTAACAACTCGCTCCTGGAATTTAACCCCACCAAGTGCAAAGTCATAAAGACTGCAGGTCAAAGAAGACCGCAGACTGAGTACAGGTTCGGAGGCCAAAGACTGCAAACCTCATTCAAGGAAAAGGATCTTGGGGTGAGTATAATACCGAGCGCATCTCCTGAGGCGCACATCAACCAAATAACTGCCGTAGCATATGGGCGCCTGGCAAACCTAAGAATAGTGTCCCGGTACCTTGGTATGAAATTCTTGAAGACTCTGTACAACGTGCACGTCAGGCCTATATTGGAGTATGCAGCACACGTATGGAACCCACACCTGGTCAAGCACGTCAAGAAATTAGAGAAAGTGTAAAGGTTTGCAACAAGACTAATCCCGGAGCTAAGTTAGGGTATGTCCTACGAGGAGAGGTTCAGGGAAATCGACTTAACGACACTGGAGGACAGGAGGAATAGGGAAGACATGATAACGATATATAAAATACACCATACCACAGGTGGGGTTAGAACCCGCGATCAAGGGGTCACAGAACTCCAGACCATCGCGTTTTCTGACTCTCTAATCGCGGTTCTAACCCCACCCGTGGTATGGTTTGTTTGCATTCGTGTCATTACGATTTCGAGAGACATATAAAATACTGGGAAGAATTAACAAGGAGGATAGCGACAGAATGTTTCAGAGATGTGACACAGCAACAAGGGGTCACAACTGAAAGTTGAAGACTCAAATGAGTCACAGGGATGTTAGAAAGTATTTCTTTAGTCATAGAGTTTTTCAGAAAGTGAGACAATCTGGAGAGTGATGTAGTGGAGGAAGGATCCATATATAGCTTTAAGAAGAAATACAATAAATCTCATGGAACAGGGAGAGAGTGGATCTAGTGGCGACCAGCAAAGAGGC